GTACTGTATTACAAAACATAACAAGGCTTCAAACAGACTCATGCAAACACATCAGTGTAGAATAGAAACCCATATTTTCCAATAATACGTTAAATTCTACAGGCCTTAGACAAAAGCTGAGAAAAAGAGTGATATAAGAGGAAAAATGAATCAGAATAAAAAAAAGTGTGAGAGAGACATCAGAAGAGTAAAGTCAGGCAGCAACAACCATGAATAACTGAGAAAATAGAGAGACTGTGTTAGGCTGTGGAGGTCACAGGGGTTTAGTTACGTAAGGATGTAATAACTGGGCATGCAATCTGCTGGGTCTGCCCGTCTGCATGAGGACTAACCTGTGTCTGACCATAAATCTGTCTCTTTCTCAGTAAATGTATGAATAACAATCAGCAGCAGTCTTCACAGCCTGATAGTGTTTCACAAAGAAAATCAGGCTTCCTAAGAACTTTCAACTCTGAGCTTAAAAGACCAGTGTTTTTGTTAATTTCCACTAATCCTATACAGAGACAAACCAATAATGAATTTCATGTACTCATCATAATGTCTGTGAATCCACTGCCTGGTTTGGCTTTTTGGTTTGTGCTGCAGATATCCATTCTCTCCATCGATACACCCTGCTCAGCAAGGAAGAATCCACTGCTCCACCAATGCCATAAAAAAGCTAGACTGCAGTTTGCAAGTGCACATGGGGAAAGAGATTTTGATTTCTGTACAAATGTCCTCTGGTCTGAAGAAACAAAAACTTAAAGGTTTGGCCATAATGACCAACGTTATGTCTGGAGGGAAACACAGGGATGGCAGCATCATGTTGTGGGGGTGCTTTGCTGCAGGAGGGACTGGGGCACGTCACAAAATAGATGGCATCATGAGGGAGGAAGATGATGTGGATATATTGAAGCAACATCTCAAGACATCAGCCAGGAAGTTAAAGCTTGGTCACAGTGGGTCTTCCAATGGACAATGAGCCCAAGCAGACTTCCAAGGTTGTGGCAAAATGGCTTAAGGACAACAAAGTCAAGGTATTGGAGTGGCCACCACAAAGCCCTGACCTCAGTCCAATAGAAAATATGTGGGAAGAACTGAAAAAAGCGTGTTTGAGCATGGAGGCCTATAAAACTGACTGAGTTTTACCAGTTCAGGAGGAATGGGTGAAAATTCCAGCAACTTATTAGAAGAAATCATGAAAAGTTTAACCTAAGTTCAAAAATTTAAAGGCAAAGCTACCAAATACTAACTTCTTGGGGTCACCACTAAAAGTACCCCTTTGCCCATGCGGCAGTACTTTGGTAAAAAAAAAAACCCTAATAAAGGTGTAGGATTTGTTCTTATGTAATATAAAAGATAACAGATGACAGCTCTACATGACCATCTGTGTGTAGGCTACACAACCCTGCAAAATGTGCTACATTGCCATCATCAATGTGAGATCAGCTGATGGTTTTACCAGTGAAGATGTCTCACTCTGTTGGAGTTGTTGGGACCCCAGAAAAACCACTCAGTTCATTCTGATTATTCAGTGGTGTTAAGGAGATTGATGCCTCTTTACCTCATAAACAATCTTTGTCTAACAGCAGATAGCTGCATTATCTGTTTCTCCATCAGGTGCAGCATGTCACAGACTTAACAAGTTTAATTTTGTGCTGTGATCAATTTAAATCAAGGAGTTTACTAATTTATATCACAATGCCGGATCACCATTGTGATGCCTGTCAGCTATTGGTGATGGACGATGGCATTGTCCACTGGCTCATCCCTAAACCTAATCTTGTGACTTCAACTGCACCTAAAACCCACTAGAGAGGTTATACCATAAATCTCATTGCCCAGGAGGAGCTGGGAAACAATGCTGGGGAAGGGGACATGTGAACTATCTATCTAAATCTGCTGCCATGGTAACCCAGCTCCTGATAATCAGCAGAAAATGGATGGAACAAGTGTTGACTTTCACCGACAGTGGTGTAAAAGTGATTGAAATAAAAGGTCAATAACAGTAACTGAAAACAGGTCAAGTATAATAAGTATAAAGCTGTTGCTGTACAATATAATGAGTTTATGTATAAATCTGTTGCTGTACAATATAATGAGTTTATGTGAACGAACAGGGCACAAATAATTCCAGACCACCTTAATGTTGTTAACCATCTGGTACTTGCTCCATTTAAAACTAATTCTCATTCATATATTATTTTGTTTAGAATATAGTCGGCATGCTGAAAATGACATCATGGCATGATATTAAATGTACTTGGATGAAATAAATCATCTTAACATGAGCATTATTTAGTCAATTACATCTGTGAACAAACAAATGCATTAATTGTATTAATTCAATGTGTTATATACCCAGCAACACAACAGAAGTGCTAGAGAGCAGCACAAAGCATTAGTATTTCAGTGTGGGCCTGTGTATGTGTGAAGAGATTCAGGGTTGAGTAAAAGAATAAAGGGGAAAAAAAATACTTCTCAGATGTTTCTCTGTTTAACATATAATTTGGAATTCATTTAATCTTATTTTGTTGTCATCAATTACAATTGAACCCCTACGAGAACATTTTCTAAAAGACAGATTCCCTGCTTCAGCATCAGTTCCTACTTGTATGTGTGTTGCTGGGCTAGATTTTGATGTAGTTGCTATGACAATAGCAAAGGGAGGCAGTGATGTGACAAATGAGTGCAAAAGCAGGAGGAGGAGTCAGACAGAGAGAAAAACAACCAGAGAAAAAAATATAGAGTGGAAGTCTTTGAACTCTTATCTCCCATGCGTGTGCCAGATGGTGCTGTGCACTCTGCTATTACATAATCAAAACAGTGAATCACATTTTCATGCACACGCTTGCAGCCACTGCCAGGCACACACAGACACACACACACACACACACGCACACAACATTCATATCTAAAACTAACTGCCATCAGTTTCAAACATTTATTAACCAAATCCTTGAGCCAGAGACAAACACAAGAACATTCAGCTCCAACAGACTAAAACAGCCACAAACACACATGTTCAGCATCAGTGTGCCTACACAGACCACCGTCATCTGAAGTGTGTATGACACTGTGTGAGAAACAGTGTGACATCCAGACAACAAAAGCACCACAGCAACCACACTACCACCACACCAAAGCATGTGTGTGTGTGATGACAGAGACAGTGCAGACTCGGCATCAGAGTGCTGATGTGCTCACTGATAATGACACACACAAAACAGATTGAGACATTGCACTTAAAACCACTATATCAGACAGCTGCCGCTTCACTCCGACAGTCACATCACTATACATTTCACATTCAGAAGCTGTCCAAATTTAATCCGTAACCCTTTAGGTCTGGCAGTGTAAACACACCCTCTACACTACCACGCAGCAGTGTTGGGGAGTAGTGAAAACATGTGATTAAACTGGTAGTTTAACTACATTATGCAGTAGTTTGCTGGTAGTTCAACTACATTCATATCTGCAAAATGATTAACCACCGAACCTACCAACAATTCTGGCCCATAAAAGGAATGACTTTATTTTTATTTTACCATTGCTTCCCTACTGTAATTGAACCTCCGTCAACCATGCATTCGTCGGGCAGCCCCCACTGCCACACACCTGACCTTTGTGCAATGCAGGTACAAAAGGGCAGGTGTTGATCAGCCCTCACACAGCTGCGTCATCATGGATAAATCTCCTGAAGAAGGATCACCTTGGCCAGACTTATGCAAATACATGACATCGACTAGCTCCATTGACAAGACCTGCGTTGTAACTTGAGAGCTAGATTAGATTAGATTAAACTGATGGAGCCTCTTGGATGAGAGGAGAAACAGCTTCTACCTAAAACCAAGTCCAGTTGATTTTTTCTACATTTTTTCAGTTAAACTTTGTCATTACCCATGTACGAGTACAAGGCAACCAAATACATTTTAGTGTAATAATAGCAGTGCAGAGTGCACAGTATCTACAGTATGTACAGTCAGTACTAAGAGATCAGCTATGTAAGCAAGCTGAGAGTACAGACTCTGTACTGTAAAGACATCAAACACAGATCTTTTCAGACCAGTGCTCAAGCTGTTCATACTGGTGCAACTTGGAGACTGTTTTAGATGGTGCAAAACTGACAAGCAAGACAATTAGCCCATTTTTTTAGACTTGTGTGCAAGTGGGTCTACCAGTCTGTTTTAGTTGTAGTCGGATCAAACAAATCCAGACTTGTTTTCAACAAATGTATAACATTACTTACTCTGTGAAAAGTAAAAGCAATATTTGGCAACTACTAGCACTGTGACCAAATACACATGGGAAATATGGGCACCCAGGAACTAAACTAGAAAATTCAGGTCCCTTTTGGTCCCCTTTTGTTCTCTGTATATAGAGCAAAGACAACCTGCACAGTGCCTGAAGATTAGCTCTTTCTGCTTAAGTACCCAACCACAATGAAACAAATACAGTAGCACACTAAATTGCTTCTCTCCTTCTCTTGCTGGACCCCCTCCAAGTTTGCCTTGTTTGCTTCCAGTCTCTTTCCTTTGCACACACACACACAGATGAAAACCTATACTCATAATGTTGAATCTAGTGGTAACCAGTGTGAATGAAGCTGTACACAGATTGTAGCAGCTGTGAGGTTTATCATTACATAATCAGTTTCTTAAATGGTTCTTGGGTTCCTGAAAACTTTCATGCAGTGAAAAGAAAAAAGTAGTGCCCGGTGGAAGCTCAACAGACACACAGCACAACACAATCAAAAACCCTCAGACATTTACTAAGATCTCAACAGGCTGAACAAAAACTATGCAGAGCCTACCAAAGCTAGTAACGGTGGCGGGTTTGCTATTCGGTAGCCATGCATTTTCCAAGAACACAGAGATGAAGGGAAGATGCACGATGATCCTGAGGCTTTGTACTTAGATGTAGAGTAATCAATACTTTGTGTTGAACATTGTGGTGAAAGTGCAACTGCATAAACAGCTTGGTCATATGGTTGACTGTTAAACAGAAAACAAAGGTCTTACCAGGGCAGGCCACAGTATGTGTTTAGCCTTGGCTCCCTGTAGCAGGCCTCCTGCTCCTCCACCTGCTCCTGCTCCCTCCTTCCTCTTGGCCCAGACCAGCTGGTGTTCCAGGAGAAACAGCTGGAAATCCTCGTAGACCTTGACCCACTCTCTCTTATCCCATTCCTGGTCGTCAAACTCCACGTATACCTACACCGCACACAGAAAGATGAATTTCAGTATCATTGTGCAGTTTCATTTCACATTTTAAACAGTTTCCTCTTTGGACACAGTATTACATTGACTGTGTTAATACAAACTTTCGACATGACAAAGAACAATTCTCTTTAACATGTATATCAACCACTGTATGACACACAAAACCAGTCCTTCCACATCTCATCTACCAACCCACCACACACCATGTTCTGTTTATGCTAGACAGATAACCCATTTAGTTCTCCTCCAACTCCATCTAAACACCACATCCTCAGAGACACATCAAGCTCATTTATAAATAACATGGTATTCCTACTCAGCCCCATGGCACACACAGACCAGCCCTTTAAACAACAGCTCAGGATCCACTAGCCCTCCATTATGCTTTGGGAGTCATATGGCAAACTTATCCTGCTCAAACTAACACCTCAACTAAACACTTTAGTCATGTGTGTCAGCAGAGTGTATGGGTCTGATTATGGACAGCCCCTCAGAGAAAAACTCTAACCTCCTCCAACAGACAGTAGACAGTAACACACACAGACACTCAACAGATATGTGACACACAAACTCAAGTATGCTGCAAAATACAGAGAACTACCCCAACTGTAGGATCCAGTTTACTACTGAGTCAACTGGATCCTACTCAACTACTGAGGGACACCGTTGTTAACAACCATGTTCAGGTAAGAACTTATTTTTGATAGCATGAAGTACTCAGCCTCAGCCTGCTACTGGTGTTACACCATATTCTGTGACCTGAAGACATCGGTGCTGGTTAAGCAGGTCATTAGGCAGTTTGGAGATGCAGTATTTTAAAAAGGCATGATGACAAAATAAAGCGGCTGCGAGGTTTGCTCTCTGTGTGTGTTAAAGGTATTGGGAACGGACGACACACACACACACACACACACACACAGAAGGTTGTATACTCGTGACAATACTGAATAGTTGCAACAAAATCTGCCAGTAATGGACAGAGTATTTACTACTTTACAACTATTTATCAAACACCTGTCAAATAAGTGGAAAACAAACTCAGAAATGTGAGTTGCAAAATGCAAATCATTGTGAACAAGAAAAAAAAATGTTATGCAGTTAATGGCTGAGTCCAGTGCACTCTATTTATGAAAATGAGTTGAATCCTTGTGGACTTGGAGGCTGAACAGCTGCTCTACAGCAGTACAGGTTTGTATCCAGCAGAGAGGCTGCTATGAGGAGAGAACGATGCCACAGATAGTCAGCATGTACCATTTATTTATTTATGTGGGACAATGCACATTAGTCAACAATGACACCAATAATATCAGTGTAAATGTGCCGGAATTAGCTTAACAGCTCATTTGCACTCGTAGTCCCAACCTAATTAAAAGTTACAAATAATAAAAAACTATTATATTTGTCAATACAGTCGAAAGACACTACAAACAAGATAACCCATCAAAAATCAGGTCATTAATGAGTACACGTTTGAATGGATTTTAATAACCAAATTTTAAGGTTAAAAATACTATATGATGTACATGTCCTTCTTTCGGTACAGTTTCCAGAGAGCTGTTGCCCTCACAGAGAAGGCTCAATGACCAGTTTTGCTTCATCTTGTTATATTCCGGGTGAACTATCCTTAAGTTCAACAAAGTGACTCGTGGAATTTACAGTTTGGATCCAACTTGAGACAGTAGCTCAGGTTCAGAGGATCATTGCATCCATATACTTTGCAGCATGCAATGATAGAGAAGGCCTAAAAAGTCTAAAATTGGATATAGGAAACTTCATTTTAGTAACCCTCTTAACTTCTTTCCTAAAAGTCAGAGCTGAATCTAAGTCAACTCCAAAAGATTTTAAAATGATCAACAATTCTAAGTTTTTCTTAATTTACTAACACGTTTACTCTCCTTACCTCCTCTGTTCTTTCTCCTGATCTGTCCCTCCATGAGTCCTACCTTCCATCACTAATCCAGCTTCCCCCTCTGTCTACGGAGGTCAACAAACATTTAATAATTATATGGATTCATACAGGTAGTTATTTTTAATAATAGTTTTTTTTATTAGTTACTAAATTAAGTTCTCAACAGTTTGCCTGTGTCCAGTGCTTCACTCAACAATCTAAGAACAGTCTAACTGGGAATTAACACTGAAAACGAGACATGAGACAGTACAGCGTCTCTTGTTATTAAAACAGCTGTCTGTCAGCAGCTCCTTGTCAGCTGAAAAGACAGCGGACAGAAACACCGTGTTCACCAGGCTGACTGACAGCTTAACGTGGTTAAGCCCTGATAAAGACACTTGTGCTGTACCTACTAAAAACTAAGGATGGTTGAACTACAACATCACAATAATGAGGACATTTTTTCCTATATAGAAAAATATCACTATCGGGTAAATGCATGCAAAATGACATGCTGTAAAATCAAACTGATGTTCTGTTTGTACAAGAGGGAGAGAATATCATCAAAAATTTGACTGAAAGTTGCTAAATGATCAAACTAAATCACTGCCCAGATAAATTCTGTAATATGTAAACTGTGTAAAAGGACTGCATCTGTCACGACCGGTTTCTCTGACTCATTCCCTGCCCATATTTTCTACAGCACAGTCATAACAAACATTAGTGACAGGTTAGTTTTTTTTTTAAACCTTCATTTAAGTAGAGCTGGTCCACTGAGAGGCCATTTATCTTTTTCAGGGACACCCTGTTCACATTCATGTAGTTACACATTCACAACTGGAAGCTGTCCAGTGCAACCGCAGACTGTGGCCACTGCAAAGCTCCACTGGAGCCTTGGGCCTTGTTCAAAGGGCACCACAGTGGTGTTAATGAGGATAACAACTGCTTGGTTGCCTGTCCCACCCAGATTTAGTCTTGCCAGTGCAAGGATTGACGCGGTGACCTGGTCACAAGCTCACTTCTTTAACCTTTAGGCCACCACTGCCCTAGTTAAGCTGTGAGCACCTGATTTTATGTACCGAAGACAATCTAAATACTAGGAGTCAGTGCTGGACCTGATCAATTTGAATCCTCCTAATTATTATAATTATGTGTCCTTACTCAAAAGACAGCCTAGTCTACCTCTGCAGGCACAAGAGGAGGAACAAGGTCAGGGAGAGTGAGATGTTCTTGTTAAAGCGGTTACGTCAATTACTTTAGGTCTGTGTGCATGTGTAAAGCTATCTTTATGGGAACCAGCGTGAGTTTTATGGGAGTGATAACATATTTATAAAGTGACATCATTTTAGCTGGTCGCTGCACCTTCTTGAGGCTGTTTGAGGGTTAGTGTTCAGGCTACAATTAGGTTTAATTAGGTTTAAGTTAGGCAATAATAATGGGGGTAGGGGCTTACTTATGATAGATAAGGTTAGGAATTTGTAGCTGTGTGTAAAACTTTAAAATTAAAACACCTCTCCACAAACATGCACAATTAAGCAGTAAATATTGGGTGCACCGCACCGACTCATTTATCTCATTCATCTCCATATACAGTACACATTGCATATGTGTATAAGGAAGCACACACACACAATAATAAGTGAAGAACAGAACCCTAACTTCTGTCTACACATACACACAAAGAAATGCACACAAAGAAAGCATATTCAGCATATTCATGTCAATATTCAGTTAAAAAAAAACATACACATGCTTGAAAAGATGAAAACTCTGTGTCTGGTAAGTCTGTTGCTATAGTAACTGGAGGCAGCAGCGGGCACTGGTGATAGACAAACACAGAGCTCTGAATCAGTACAAGCTCCTACCAGAGCCACAGTGAGCTGAACCAAGAAACAGCGAGAACAAAGGACAACAGATGCTATCCTTACAGCACTGTGCAGCATCTGATCTGATCAACATCAGCTCTCACTGTCACTGCAGACACTGTAGTGTGTCATTCTGTTCTTATGGCCTGCTAATACAGTAGCACCTATCAAAGACATTGACCTAGACAAGAATGAACCTGACCACAGACTCAGGATATCCAGTACAACTCCGCTCCACACTGTACAGATTATGTGGGGCTGAATGATTCAGGAGCTTAGAGATGGACAAATGCCCCAGAGATGATGGTTTTCAAGGGGCCTGAGACCTGCAGCAGTGCACCTGTTGACACTACCTGGATTTGTCAGATCCCACTGAAACCACTTATGGTTCAACAGTATCACTATCATTCATGGTAGCTATTGTAAAGGGTGGCTTTTATTCACTTGGCAGGACAATTGTATAGCTTGTGAAATCAATTACAAACATGCATATATATTATGTCTATAACTTTGATAACAATAAACTGAAAACTGAATCAAAAGGATGAATACACATTTAGCCACTACTGAACTGCTGTGGAATGTTATTATTCAAATGTATTTCCACAATTTTTATTCTATGATCTACAGTGAAATTATGCCTTAAAGCAATAATAACGAGAAGCAGAAAAACAAAAATATGTACCAAATTTTTGTCATTTGTCCATTTCCGTTCATCACAGGTCACATCAACATAAATTACAAAAGAGGGAAATCCCGCACCTGGGTGTGTTCTAAGCATCCTCTATTCAATACAGCAGTCATTCCCAGTTCAAACAAGTTATGCTAATATTTTTTTAAGAATCTGATTCCACCACAGGGTCTCTGGAAGGGGTTTAAGTCCACTGTAAGAAAACTGAGTTCTGACTTTTTTCTCAGAATTCTCGCTTTAAAGTCAACTTAAAAAGCCAGAATTCTGAATTTAAGAAACTAGGCAGAACTAAAAACAAGTTTCACAATGGCCCTAAATCCTCTTGTGTATGGTGTCAGTGCGAGTCCAGCCTTTCACTTGCGAAATGGAGTTTAGATGCAGCTAGTTTGAACACCGAGTGCACAGCTGATACAAGGCCAGAGACACACGAGTGAGGACATCAGCCAGGAAGTGAGGACACTGTGCACACTCACCCCTTTCTCTCTGAAGCAGTGTCAACAATTAAGCCAAGTTTAGACTTTGGATTAGGTCAACGAGGTGTCATAGA